TATATATATATATATATATATATATATCTGCCTGGAGTTCCTCTTTGTCAGTTGTGGGTGGGCTGGCCCTCTGTAGTACACTGGTGATGAACAGCATAAGGCTTCTGTACAATGATAGGAGTCATCCTCATCCTCATGGAGCTACTCCGGTCAGTGTAGAATATTCGGTCACCTGCTCTCTGTATGGCATTTCTCATTTCATAGGCATCGATGGTTCCCGAGTGATTGACGTCCACTTCCAGGAAGATTTTCTGTGAAGAGAAGCAATTATTAATTATTGCTAATAATATGGACAACGTAGGTTCATTGCCTTAGTGCGTTGGGGTGCCTTGTAAAGTGGTGTAGCAAAGCATGTTACGTGCGTTACCGCACATTATGGTAATACACGTGTTGCTGCAATGCAGAAGTATATATTGGCTGATAACAGATCTTTACCATGTAGTGCTCCAGCTTCATCCAGAGGATTTTATATTCTTCTGCACTCAGAGTCCCCGTATTGTCCACCTGTACAGTGTGTGGTTAAGGCTTCTTCCAGGCAGTGGTGGACCAGCACAGCACAGAGCCCCAGTGCAGGATATAGGGCTGACCCCCCGCAGCTGGCACAGCACAGAGCCCCAGTGCAGGATATAGGGCTGACCCCCCGCAGCTGGCACAGCACAGAGCCCCAGTGCAGGATATAGGGCTGACCCCCCGCAGCTGGTACAGCACAGAGCCCCAGTGCAGGATATAGGGCTGACCCCTGACAGCTAGCCCACAGCTCTGGTGCCAGTGTGGATGCCATTCTATCCTGGTTTCTATGTTCCCATAGATGCCATTTTGCCATAGTTAGATCAATGCAGCACCAGTGTAAACCAGCGGACCTTCTACTCAGTATTGTTAAAAATAGATGTAAACTATAACTGAATGACTTTTAGTGCTGTGTATCTAACAATTGCCTTTTGTTATTCAAATACTTGTTTTGACCCATGTTCATCCTTTCTTGCATCTCAGAGCTGCTGATCGACTGTAGGCTTTTTCCAGCCACTTCTTGTCTACATGCACTCCAGCAAAGGCCGCAGACATTTCTCAGGGCGGGTTTCCCGATGGTCACAACAGTGGACCGAGCCTGTGTAATGTCTGTTTATAAGGCCACTTGTACTGTCTGTCGGAAGTCCTTGTGACAACTCAGGAGCACAATTGGGGGACGTGAACAGAGTGTTGTCACCCTATAATAGAAAATGCCTTTAAAAAGGGGCCCTTATGGCAGGATCACCAGGGATTAGTTTGATGAAAGCTGCACATGTATAAAAGACTGAAAATGACTTTAACATGTTAAAGCTGAGTGGCTAGAGTGGTTAGAGTGGCTCTGCACATTCTGTGGTCCTAAATGCAATGTGTGTTTTTCCCAAAAGGGCCTAAAAGAGAGAATTAAAATCCCAAACATCAATGTACACAAGCCCAATAATAACTGACTGTGCTGATCTACTGTATGCTACACAGAGCAAAGCAAAGAGTCTCTGTAATACAGGGGTATGGGGCTGGGGGTGTGTACTGAATCTGCAAGCTGATTGGATGGCTCAGGCAGCGTGTGCGCAGTCAGGTGTCACCATCGCCCTTTGTGTCCAAACACATCAGATTCCCTTACCTTGGTCAGCCGCAATAAGGTTACCTTTAGGGAGACCCTGTCACCAGACAACAGAAATCCTCTTATAAGATTATATGAGTGTTTATTTGGATTTTATGCATGTCATTTACCAATAAAAGCCTCCCTTGTATTAACATCCAAAAGCCCAGAGACTTCTGCTGGGAGATGCCATCTTGAATGTGATGTCATCAGCCCCAGCAGACTCCGAGCTGTCACTCAAGTGACTCTATAATATTCTTCTTCTTATAGGGAGGTTAGGGAGCTGGGCCAGCACAGTCAGTAATTAGACACTCCCAGAAGAGGAGGGTGGCTATGACATGCAAGGAGGGAGGCGACCGTGCTAGGGATTTGACTCTCCAGGAGAAGACAAATTGTCTAGCAAGTTCAAAGGCACATTGCAAGTGAATAAGATATAAGGAAAGGAAAAACACTGCAAGTAAACATATAAAATGCCTGATTGTTAGGTGCTTTTAGCAGCAATTTGGTGACAGGGTCTCTTAGAGAAAGGGCATTCTTGTAGCACCTTTCATTTAGGAATGGAGTGAAGGGTAGCACCAATGTATCACGAGGGTAAAGGGTAACATTTGTATCACGAGGGTAAAGGGTAATATTTGTATCACGAGGGTAAAGGGTGACATTTGTATAGGGCATTCTTGTAGCACCTTTCATTTAGGAATGGAGTGAAGGGTAGCACCAATGTATCACGAGGGTAAAGGGTGACATTTGTATAGGGCATTCTTGTAGCACCTTTCATTTAGGAATGGAGTGAAGGGTAGCACCAATGTATCACGAGGGTAAAGGGTGACATTTGTATAGGGCATTCTTGTAGCACCTTTCATTTAGGAATGGAGTGAAGGGTAGCACCAATGTATCACGAGGGTAAAGGGTGACATTTGTATAGGGCATTCTTGTAGCACCTTTCATTTAGGAATGGAGTGAAGGGTAGCACCAATGTATCACGAGGGTAAAGGGTGACATTTGTATAGGGCATTCTTGTAGCACCTTTCATTTAGGAATGGAGTGAAGGGTAGCACCAATGTATCACGAGGGTAAAGGGTGACATTTGTATAGGGCATTCTTGTAGCACCTTTCATTTAGGAATGGAGTGAAGGGTAGCACCAATGTATCACGAGGGTAAAGGGTGACATTTGTATAGGGCATTCTTGTAGCACCTTTCATTTAGGAATGGAGTGAAGGGTAGCACCAATGTATCACGAGGGTAAAGGGTGACATTTGTATAGGGCATTCTTGTAGCACCTTTCATTTAGGAATGGAGTGAAGGGTAGCACCAATGTATCACGAGGGTAAAGGGTGACATTTGTATAGGGCATTCTTGTAGCACCTTTCATTTAGGAATGGAGTGAAGGGTAGCACCAATGTATCACGAGGGTAAAGGGTGACATTTGTATAGGGCATTCTTGTAGCACCTTTCATTTAGGAATGGAGTGAAGGGTAGCACCAATGTATCACGAGGGTAAAGGGTGACATTTGTATAGGGCATTCTTGTAGCACCTTTCATTTAGGAATGGAGTGAAGGGTAGCACCAATGTATCACGAGGGTAAAGGGTGACATTTGTATAGGGCATTCTTGTAGCACCTTTCATTTAGGAATGGAGTGAAGGGTAGCACCAATGTATCACGAGGGTAAAGGGTGACATTTGTATAGGGCATTCTTGTAGCACCTTTCATTTAGGAATGGAGTGAAGGGTAGCACCAATGTATCACGAGGGTAAAGGGTGACATTTGTATAGGGCATTCTTGTAGCACCTTTCATTTAGGAATGGAGTGAAGGGTAGCACCAATGTATCACGAGGGTAAAGGGTGACATTTGTATAGGGCATTCTTGTAGCACCTTTCATTTAGGAATGGAGTGAAGGGTAGCACCAATGTATCACGAGGGTAAAGGGTGACATTTGTATAGGGCATTCTTGTAGCACCTTTCATTTAGGAATGGAGTGAAGGGTAGCACCAATGTATCACGAGGGTAAAGGGTGACATTTGTATAGGGCATTCTTGTAGCACCTTTCATTTAGGAATGGAGTGAAGGGTAGCACCAATGTATCACGAGGGTAAAGGGTGACATTTGTATAGGGCATTCTTGTAGCACCTTTCATTTAGGAATGGAGTGAAGGGTAGCACCAATGTATCACGAGGGTAAAGGGTGACATTTGTATAGGGCATTCTTGTAGCACCTTTCATTTAGGAATGGAGTGAAGGGTAGCACCAATGTATCACGAGGGTAAAGGGTGACATTTGTATAGGGCATTCTTGTAGCACCTTTCATTTAGGAATGGAGTGAAGGGTAGCACCAATGTATCACGAGGGTAAAGAGTAACATTTGTATCACAAGGGTAAAGGGTAACATTTGTATCAGGAGGGTAAAGGGTAACATTTGTTTCACGAGGGTAAAGGGTAACATTTGCATCACAAGGGTAAAGGGTAACATTTGTATCACGAGGGTAAAGGGTGACATTTGTATCACAAGGGTAAAGGGTAACATTTGTATCACGGGGGTAAAGGGTGACATTTGTATCACGGGGGTAAAGGATGACATTTGTATCACGGGGGTAAAGGGTGACATTTGTATCACAGGGGTAAGGGGTGACATTTGTATCACAGGGGTAAGGGGTGACATTTGTATCACAGGGGTAAGGGGTAACATTTGTATCACAGGGGTAAGGGGTGACATTTGTATCACGGGGGTAAGGGGTGACATTTGTATCACAGGGGTAAGGGGTAAGGCAGCTCTAAAGAAACTGGTTTCCCCAAAGGGAATGTGTTCTACAAATATATCCGATGATTTGGCCTATTCATCATCTTTTTACAATATGAAAAGTAAAATGATATTCCTCTATGAAAGGATACATCCATTAGATTAATCATCTCTCTGCAGGTCCTGGGGCCAAACCCGGCAGATTTAATATCCGGATCTGGAGAGAGAATAAAATTAGAAAAGTCCAGAATTTAAAATAGAACTAAAATATTAAATAAAACATCCCTCTATGCCCCCCTCCCCCCTCCTCCCCACCACCATTGTACAGGTCAGTTGTAGGCTTTCCAGTGTTCAGAGCTTTGCAGCCAGTATCTTGTATATTATACCACAAAGAGCCCATTCACACCAGGGTGGTTGCGGATCAGCGCGGTTACCGCGGTGATTTCAAAAGGGAGGTTTTGGGAGTTTTTAATTGCGTTTCAGAGCTGAAATGCAATTAAAAACACACATAACCGCAATGATCAGCGCGGCTCCATTGAAAGCTGTATGGAAACCGCACTGATCAGCACGGCTAAAATAGTGCAGGGAGCAGTTTGGGCGGGTGTGGTTCGGATCGCGTTGAGCCGCGTGGTCCCATGAACGGTCCCCATAGCAATGTATGGGATCGTTCATGTCGGCACATCCGGGCGGCCGTACCTCCCCGGTGGGAACGGGCTCTGCTTCTCTCATCCAGTATATGATGAAATGAAAGGATCACGTCTTCCAGAAACAGACTGCAGTAAAGTGTATCTAAACCAAAAAACATACATGTAACATATTGCAGCTCACCAGTCCTTAGATGTGGCGGCTGCATCAGCTTTGCTGTTCCAGACTTTTTTTTAACCTTTATCTTCACCTGGTGATCCTGCCAGTAATACACTTCCTGTCCTAGGGTGACAACACTTGCTCACTATACTGTATCTATGGAGGAGCAGCTTTGTCACCCTAGGACAGGAAGTGTGTTAGGGCCACAGAATTCACACCCTATCCTCATCTCCATAACATAGGGGGAGGTGTGCTGTAGTTTACAGAAGAGAACTAATGAGAGCCCGTAACATAATTTTTTGAGATATAATTTCGGTACACAGGATCTTACAAGCACACTGGATTTTTGGCAGCATTTTTCTGGAAATGAATTTAGCATGAAAAAAAAAGAAAGCTAAAGCTTATCCACACATGATGGCGCTTCCGTCTGAAATATTTCATATGGGCCCACATTGTGAAATTGCACAGCAGTGTTGTCACCCAGTGGACAGGCATAAATGTTGGGGTATCTTGCCTGATGCTCAGTGGAAAGTGTAACTCGGGGAAGCCACTAAATGTCTTCAGCATTACAGATCAAGTCCTGTTGAAAGCGACTAACAATTAGCTGAATGAGAAGATGCTTCTATGAAGCCTTTGGATGCCAGGATTTTGGTTTGGTTATCAAGAGATGGTCCCCAGAGCTCCCTATTATGGTGGACTGAAAGACAGGACACCAACAGGGTTATTCACAAAGCTGCCGAAGGCAGCCAAGTGAATAACCCAGCCGTAGTGAAGAAGTGCGCCGAACGCTGTTCAGCTATTCACTTGAGCCCTGTACGGCTTATTTCAGCTGTACATCGACTAAAATCAGCCGTACATGGGCTCTGTACAGCTGCCTTCGGTCAGCCGAAGGGCAGAAGGAGTTCGACTCCAACATCTGGATCGGCTGAGCCGAAGCTCCGGCAGCTCACTCGCTGCTGTTCACCCCTATTCACATAGGGACCGTACGGCAGTGAGTGAATAGCCAGATGCCGCCGAGCAGCATTTGGCTTGGCTATTCTGATTGCTACCTCCGAGGCAGCGAGCAGAATAGAAAAAAACATATAGAAATGTTTAAAAAAAAAGAAAATAATAAAAAATATTATAAAGAAAAAACAAAACCAAAAAGCAACGCATGCCAACCAGTCCGCACGCGACAAACTCCCGCCGCATAGTGTAGAATCTGACAGATGCCAGCAAACTATGAACACACACAGAGTCTTCTAGCAGGTTCCGGGCAAAAAATAACAACTGGGCGGAGCCGGCCATGACGTCACGGCCGGCTCCACCCAGCTGTTATTGTATAATGACAGATCAGCATCCCCAGGTCATTTGGGGACGCTGATCTGTCATTACAACTGGGAGTAGCGAGCTGTCATTTGCGGCCCTTCGGCCGACCATTCTCCACGCCGCTGGGCTGTCTTTGGCTGCTGTAAGGGCTATGGTGAATAGCTCGTACAGCAGCCTCTGGGTTCGACTGAACCAAAGGGCTCTGGCGACCAAAGTGAGCCGAAGGATCAGCCAAAGCTACGGCTGGATCCTTCGGCTCTATAGTGAATAACCTTCTTAAGGTGCCCATACACTGTGCGATTATCGCACGATAATCGCGGGAAATCCCGCGATCGTACGATAATCGCAAAGTGTATGGAAGGCGTGCAACGGTTTTTACGGTACGGTCGCACGTCTTTTGTCTAAGGAGCATGTTCGAAAACCAGCTGAAAATCTTACGATTTTCGGCTGGTTTGTGGCATGCTCGGGAAACAAATGCCGAACGAGCCGGTGTGCGCACGCGCACACTGCCGGTTCAGCATTGCGGTCATCGGAAGCCCACCCCTCAGCGGGGCGGGCTTGCGATGATCGCAAGTACGATCTGCCTGTCCAAGATGGGCAGATTGTACGTTTTTAAAATTACTTTACAACCATCACAAGGCTAAGGTCTTGCGATGGTTGTAAAGGGTATGGCCACCTTTAGATGGAGCTGAAGAGCATAGAAAACAAGTATTTTTTTCCTATGCTCCTCAGCTCCATCTAGTGGCCATATTGTATTATTACAACAGCACACTACATTTAAACTGGGAAACCTCATCTAGTGGCCATAATGTATTATTACAAAACTACATTTATACTGGGAAAAATGTTAATAACATTCATTTTTGTCCGAATTTACCCAGAACGCACGCTCACAGATGATTGTTTTTCAATAGAAAGTCCATGGTCCCATCGCACTCCTGACGCATAGCTGTTTACTATGCTGCACGTCAATAAATAGACGTTTGCTCATGAATTTGGAGTGCCAGTGTCTTTATCTTTACTTGTTTTTCAATAGACCCCCAAGTTATAGTTAGGTGTGCGGACATTTGTGTTGAATAAAAAAAAAAAATCTAATTCAATATTTATGACTCTGCGATCTGAAATAGCATGAGAAGAATTTCCATGATTCACACAACTTACACTTTACCAACCTCTTGTTCACAGCCTGTCTCACATCTTCTACATTGAACTCCTCTATCTGCTGCTGCAAACATGACGGGGAAACAAAGTAACAAGCAGGAAGAAAAATCAATATTTACTTTACTAGTATCTATAAAATGTGTACTGGGTCCAAAGTCAGAAAATGCTAATTACCTCTTCATCTGCCTCCTCATCCCCGTTCTGAGGGTCCAGGTCCGGGGTAGAATTTAATAAAGGCTTCACAAAATAAACATATTATTTTTTAATTTTTATTTAAACAAATGTAGACAATTTTCAGTTTTTTAGCATTTGTGTGATATATAGAAAGATAGATAGATAGATAGACAGACAGGGGGGCCTAGCCAGGACAGGGGCAAAGGGGTCCCCCTGATGCCGTGCGGGCTGCCTGGGTCGCTATGGCATGTCAGACTGCTGGCTCTCACTGTCAGCTGTGAGAAGAAACGCGCCACTGTCCAGATCACTGACAACCTGTCAGTGACAGCTATAGCTGCGGTGGACGAGGACGGGGCCCGGCAACCTTGGAGGAAGAGGCCAGGCCTGGCAGCAGAAGAGGAGACTATAGAGAGTCTATGGTGGGCTCTGCAGGGTCACTCTCAGCTGAGCTGTGTGGGATCTCCGATGGGCTCTGCAAGGGGCGTAACTGGAAATCACAGGGACACAGGACACAGTTTTGCTATGGGGCCCTGTGATTTCTATTTATGCCCCTGAATAGATAGATAGATAGATAGATAGACAGACAGATAGGGAATTACTTCTAATAACAAATAAAGCATATCTAAAACCCCAAATAAAAATGAAATATGTTGCAGCTTACAAATCCTTAGACATAGTGGCTGCATGTGTTTTCTTTTTTTCAGGCTAAGATCATTTCCTGTAAGCACCAAAAAATACCTGTAGATCCCGACAGAAATCCCGGGCCTTTGTAACCCCCTGCGCACTAACCTGAAAACGTACACAATGTTATCATCCTTGCCAGCTATCTTCTGTGGACAACAGAACCCGGGAATGAAGATGAAGAGAAGGAAAGGTGTTCTGTAGTCTAAACACTGTCCAACCCTAGGATGCTTCTCTGTGAGTGCAGTACATTGAGAGAGCATTGTCGGCCTCCAACAGGAAGTATGTTACTGGCGGGATCACCAGGTGATAATAAATGAAAAGGAATGAGGCCACCACATCTAAGGACTGGTAAGCTGTGATATATATTACATTTTTATTTTGGGGTTTAGATAGATTTTAAATGATAATGTGAATTATAAACAAATATTGATGAAATAATATGAAGACTGAGGATAGATAAAAAAAGGTATACAAGCTGCAGACTCATGTATAAATTGTATAGAAAGCTAAATGCTGTGAGTTTACCTCGTAGAGACTTGCTTCCACCACATTGCCCACTTCACTAAAATAAAATAAAATAAAGTTATAAGTTGTCACTGGACAGATACACCTATAATGGGAAATCCCATAAACTTTCAGTTTAATCAAATGTGAAGTGTAAAAGATGCAATTTTGTAATGTTGTTTGGAAGTATAACAAGATACTAGACATATAAGCTGAGGAAAAATTCGGTTCAGGATTCGGATCCGAAATTCAATTCGGTTGGGGTTTCGGATTCAGACAAAATCCGAATGTTGTTAGTTTCGGATGAGTTTACGAATATTCGTAGCGAGTAAAACAGAAAATCATACACAGATATTAATATTACAACTGAATCTTCTAGATTCGAATTTCGGAATTGCGTTCGGGAGCTCCCAAATGCCATTCGGGTCTGGGAGCCTCAACTTTAGTGATATACACTATATTACCAAAAGTATTGGGACACCTTCCTTTACACGCACATGAACTTTAATGGCATCCCAGTCTTAGTCCGTAGTGTTCAATATTGAGTTGGCCCGCCCTTTGCAGCTATAACAGCTTCAACTCTTCTGGGAAGGCGTCCACAAGGTTTAGGAGTGTGTCTATGGGAATGTTTGAACATTTGTGAGGTCAGGTACTGATATTGGACGAGAAGGCCGGGCTTGCAGTCTCCGCTCTAATTCATCCCAAAGGTGTTCTATCGGGGTGAGGTCAGGACTCTGTGCCGGCCAGTCAAGTTCCTCCACCCCAAACTCACTCATCCATGTCTTTATGGACCTTGCTTTGTGCACTGGTGGGCAGTCATATTGGAACAGGAAGGGGCCATCCCCAAACTGTTCCCAGAAAGTTGGGAGCATGAAATTGTCCAAAATGTCTTGGTATGCTGATGCCTTAAGAGTTCCTTTCACTGGATCTAAGCAGCCAAGCCCAACCCCTGAAGAACACCCCCACACGATAATCCCCCCTCCACCAAACTTTACACTTGGCACAATGCAGTCAGGCAAGTACCGTTGTCCTGGCAACCGCCAACCCAGACACGTCCATCAGATTGTCAGACAAAGAAGCGTGATTCGTCACTCCAGAGAACACGTCTCCACTTCTCTAGAGTCCAGTGGCGGCGTGCTTTACACCACGGCATCCGACGCTTTGTATTGCACTTGGTGATGTAAGGCTTGGATGCAGCTGCTCGACAATGGAAACACATTCCATGAAGCTCTCTACACACTGTTGTTGTGCCAATCTGAAGGCCACATGAAGTTTGGAGGTCTGTAGCTATTGACTCTGCAGACAGTTGGCGACTTCTGCGCGCTTCAGCATGTGCTGACCCCGCTCTGTCATTTTACGTGGCCTACCACTTTGTGGCTGAGTTGCTGTTGTTCCCAGTTGCTTCCACTTTGTTATAATACCACTAACAGGTGACCGTGGAATATTTAGTGGCAAGGAAATTTCACGGAACACCAGAATCCAATGATTTGGAGGGGCGTCCCAATACTTTTGGTAATATAGTGTATGTATATGACTCCCAGACCCGAATGGCGTTCAGGTTCCGAATTTCCGAATGGCATTCTGGAGCTCCCTAAAGCCATTCGGTTTTGGGAGCCATATACATATATTACTAAAGCTGAGGCTCCCAGACCTGAATGGCATTAGGGAGCTCCAGAATGCCATTCGGAAATTCGGATCCTGAATGCCATTCGGCTCTGGGAGCCTCAGCTTTAGTGTTACATGTATATAGTGAATATGGCTCCCATGTTGCCATAATGAAAATTTGTTTTCAGAACTATTCGGATGCATTAAACCGAAAAACACCTCTGATTGGCCAGAAAAGTCACATGTCCCATTCAGTTTAATTTTTGAACGAAATTCGGACGGGATCCAAAATTCGGAAACCGACATTCGGATTCGGACACATTCGGATGCATGGGATTCGGGAAATCCGGATGTGTCTGAATTTCCGAATTTCGGAAAGTTCGATTTTGAAGAATTTTGATTGGGAACGTAACGAATCACACATGTCTACAAGATACAACATGAATTGTACACAAGGGACTGAAAGTTACTATTATCTACCCCAAGTCCTTCACATACACTAAGCCTTCTGAAGCAATAATAGTCCTCACAGCAACAACCCGAATGATACATATCGGGTGAGATATACCTTTATCATCTGTGCGGTTTTTGTGCTATTAATTCCTTGAGATGAAGACAGACCCTGATGACCCTGATCTGGTTGTGGTGACTGCCCACTCACATGCTCCTCCATACCCAGAAGTAGAAGGTTTTTGTCTTCGGCTCCTGGTGCAGAGTGGCATGGGCGCTAACTAAAAGTGAGTATATGCTGTTGGGAATGGGGGGGGGAGGGGTGAAAGCAAACCTGTTCTTAGTTCTGAATTACCAAAGCACAGGTTAACTTTAACGTGCATTCCCCTTTCGCAGCTGAATTTAGATACCGCCTACTTTATATTTGTGTTCCCATTCACATAGCAGAAGCTAAGAGAAACCTAAAAAATGCTACTTGCAGTTTAAACAGCTCTTACGTGGCTTCTTAAGGGTTAACATTTTTTACTTGCTTCTCCTTCTTTGTAATGTTAGGAGGGGCTGTGAGGAGCTTCTCTATTGTATGTTAATGAAGTTAATGAGAGAAACAAAATCCTCAAATGTCAGTCCTAAGTCTTTCTATGGGGTCAGATCACTGTGAAGGTGCTGAGAAGGTGCTGAGAACAATTTGGAATAAGCCATGTCGCCTGCTGCAACAAAACATCTAAAAGGTAAGAATATATATTTGTACAAAATGATTTTCCGCTATGCTTTGTGAATGGGAACCCATAACAAACGTATAGAGGGGTTTTCTCAAATCTCACTGCAAAAGTGGAAATACTTCTTCACTGTGATAATATTTTGCTCTCTCTACTTACAGTGCCTTGGCGTTCTTCTCTGAGATGACACGGAGGAAGAAGTCGGCTTCTTCAGAGGGTCTAAAGGTGGTTGGGACGATCACATAGTTTCCAGTGGGAAGAAGGAACCGGTTGGACACCTCGCGGTGATCTTTGTAAACATCCAAACGGGCTGCGTCTTTATTTTTTTTGAAGAAATCGTTCCCCAGCTGCGGATCTACCAGACACTGGAGACAATATGGATGTGAATTAGGTTTAAAGAGTACCTGTCACCTTAGCCAGAGTGTTTCTACCTGTGGTGCCTCATAAAGGAGAGCCTTGCATAGAGTAGGGAATGGCTAAGATCCCTGTTGGTTTATGTCATCCTGGAATTACATAAGATTTCCCTTCTATTCCTGTTTTGGTGACAACCTCAAATCTGGGATTTTCTTTCACTTTCAGTGATAATGGTCCCCAGGACAAATAGAGAGGGCAGACCGCAATAAAAACATGACATGCGTTCTAATTAGGGATGCACATACTAGTATCGGTATCGTGCTGATGCCGAGTATTTGGGCGAGTACTCGTACTCGCCCAAATGCTCCGATGCCTGGCCCGATACTTGAGCTTCCGGTAATAGGAAGCCGGGCAGCAAGTCATTACACGCTGCCCGGCTTCCTCATTGGCCGGGAAGCCGTCTCCATGCTCCCTCGTCACTTGTCATTCTGATTGGCCAGAAGGCCGGCTTCGTGCTCCCTGGTCACCTGGTGACGAGGGAGCAAGGAGCCGGCTTCTCGGGCAATCAGGAAGCCCGGGCGCCATGCAATGACGCGTTGCCCGGCTCACTGATTGGCCAACTTCTCAACCAATCGGGAAGCCGGGAAACGTGTCATTACACTGCGCCTAACTTCCTGATTGGCCAGAAAGCCAGCTCAATGCTTCCTCGTCACCTGGTGACGAGTCTTTACATGCCGCCTGGCTTCCTTAATAGGACTGCTATTGGTATTCGGTATCAGCGAGTACTCATACTCTATACATGAAAAACCGGTATCAGTGCATCCCTAGTTCTAATCTCTCTCCACTCTATCCAAAACTATAAAGAAGGTTTCGGCTTTGGTGGCACTTTAAAATGAATGCAGGTAATCTTCCCAATGTGTATTAAGGAACAACTGTACTAAAAATCTGTTTCAGCATCTTTGGCATCATGCTTCACTGTATAAAGTTTTCTTATGCATATCATTCCTTGTGAATCAAATACAAAGTTTCTTACCAGGAGATCCTGCCAGTAACAGCACTTCCTGTTGAAGATGCTAAGTCACTACCTCACAATTAGCAGCAGCGTAGTCAGCCTGCTGCGTGAGCTCCTTTAATTGACCAATGGGCTGCTTGTTAAGCCTATCAGACCAAGTTGTGCTTTAAGTAAATTAAACTTAATAACCCCGCAGAAGAGGTGCTTAAGAAGGGACATGATCGCTATCTACAAATTGATCAATGGTGACTATAAATCCGGTAACAACTTGTTTAATCTTAGGTACCTGATGAGAACATACGGCCACCATTTAAGGTTTGAGTAAAGAAGGTTTAAAGTGACACTAAACTCAGGAGTTAATATCTTAAAAATGCATTCAAGTACCTTTATTAACATCAGGGCCGTCTTTAATATTGATTGGACCCTGGGCAAGCATTTTCTTGGGCCCCCTGCCACACCCCGCCCCCGCCATGCAATATTGCCTGCTATATGCTGACAGCACAGAGCCACGCTGTAGCTCGGAAGGATCGCAACAATATTGTCAGGATCCACCCACCTACCTGATTGATAGCTGGCTCTGCCTCTGTAGATCCAGAGCCAGCTGTGCCAGCCCCCTCCCCGATGCTGAAGAGGCGGCCGGTGCAGATGCAGCATTAGCACTAGTTTATGGGGTACAGGGCCCCACAGCAATGACAGGGCCCAGGGCAGCTGCCCCTTTTGCCCTGCCTTAAAGATGGCCCTGATTAACAGAAATGTATCTTATTTGTGTATCACTCGGCTGTAGATCCTCAAATCATCTCTGAATTGGTGCTGACACTGTCCTTCCTTCTGGAGGGGGGCTACTTTTGTTCCCCATGGTCCCTGTGTGTGTTGTAAAGTAGTCACCACTCCAAGCTCACTCCCGTGATGGACTACAATCTCATGTTCAGTTTACTAATTTGTATTGAGATTGTAGCTTGGAGTGGTGGCTACAACGCACACAGGGATAATGGGGAACATGAAGCCAGAATTCCAGTGCTGCAAGGACAGTGCTCATCACTAACCCGCCATAATACAGGTATGAGAAACCAAATATAAATAAAAATGAGTCAGGAAACTCAGAAAGAATGATACTGGCTGATCTGAGTATTTAGGAGTATAGGGTACACCAAAGATTGTCATTTGGGGGGACTGTCCCTTTTTTGGAATCTCTTTGTCCCTCTTTCTTCCTCTGCCATCATCCAATGTCTAAATGATTGCCAGTATGAAGGAAAATCACTTGTGGGTTCCACCAATTATTGTTTTTGCATTAATCCTTTCCCGGTCCACGTAAGTGGGAGCGTGGCAGGGGGTGTGTCCTTTGCCTGTATACTTTGCGCTGAATGGTGTGCCCCGTTGTTGGAAGGTATACCCCAGAAGAGAAAACAAATGGATTTCCATACCTGTTTAGGGACCTGAAATAGATACAACAATGACATTGTTTTAAGTAGTACAATAACAAGGATCATTGTTCACTCAGGAAACAGAATTTCAGGGACCATCAGAATAACCCATAAACATCCCCACATGTTCCCAGTGGTGGGCAGCACAGTGACTTAGTCTGAAAGGAGATAACTGCTGCTGCCCTCTTTTAGATAACCCAACATGCTCTGGAAATCCGGTGTCATGCACTAAGGGGGTTATTCGCACATCTAGCCGAAGGATCAGCCATAGCTCCGGCTGATCCTTCTGCTAGCTTCGGCCGCCGGAGCCCTTCAGTTCAGTCAAACCGAAGGGCTGCTGTACGGGCTATTCACTATAGCCCGTAGAGCTCCCGAAGGCAGCTAAGCGGCTCAGCCGAGCCTAAGGCATATGCTTCGGCTCGACTGAGCCAAAGTGACAGCTGAAGCGGGACGCAACGCCCAGTTGCAATGACAGATCAGTGTCCCCAGGTGTCCTGGGGACGCTGAACTGTCATTAAACAATGGCAACTGATGTCATGGCCAGCTCCGCCCCCGTTGTTATTCATTGGCCGGGACCTGCTAGAAAACTCCCGGAAACAGTTGGGTGGAGCTAGCTGCTAGCTTCGCCCAATTGGTTTTTTTGGGGGATGGGGGGTGTTTATTTAATTTTTTTCTTTTTGAAAAAAAATCTTTCTTTTTTTAAATGTATTATTTAGTTACATTTTTAAACCTTTTTTCAACTTTTTTCCCCCCAACTTTTTTAATTGTTTTTCTATTCTGCTCGGTACCACGGAGGTACCGAGCAGAATAGCTGAGTCGAATGCCGCTCAGGTGGGATATTCAATCGGCTGCCTTCGGCAGCTTTGTGAATGACCCAGTACATTTTCAATGGTAAAATAAAAATTGTACGTATAGTAAACATAAAAGATCTGCTAACACCTATAATTGGTCCTAAATTTTTATAATTTCTCTATAAAGTCACTTTAGAGAAGTTCCAGCCAGGCTGACAGCCCAGAATGACACCAAATGCTGACCTTGTATATATAGTAGCCAATTCTCAACAAGTCTCCTCCTTGGGGTTTCTTTCTCCGACGCTCTTTCTGCATCAGGCTGACCAGCACTGTACAGCATGGTTTCCCATTGTCTCCATTTTTACCCTCATCAGGGTCCTCCAGGGTGATCCGGTACTGCGGATTGGTCCAAAATGTCACTGATGGAGAAAAATAAGTCATGAGAGAATAATCAGAATAGTGATATAAAATATAGAAAAGAATACAAATTACTGTACATTTCATGGAATTCTCTTCTAATTCAGCTACAGTATGTACTTGAAATCTTGTTTCATTATGAGTAGCCACACACCAGATGAAGGCTAAAATCAGACTGTCAAGAGAGTGCTTGCTTGGAAAGATGAAGGGTAGGGTGTTACTTAGGCGGACTTACAGGAGGAAGAGTAGAAAAATGAAGAGCATCATTGGAAATACAGATGTCTGTCTTTTTTATTTACAGCGTTAAAGGAAAGTAAAGGTTTTGGTCAGTTTCCTTTTACTTTTTTTCCATTCAAGATTTTGCACTTAAGCTATTGAGCTCTGTAAACAATATTTTTTATTTAGCTCAACTCCAACCAAGACTTTTGATTTTAATGTAATCTTTAGATCCTATTCATATTCAGTCCCATACTGTGCATTTTGGTTTTGGTCCTGGTCAGCTTTCTTTGCCTTTTTTTTCCATTCAATATTTTGAGCTTGAGCTATTGTAACGGACTCAATCACTCCCTCACCTGATCCTCGTTCCAGCGCGGCCAGCATCGCCGTCGGAACTTCTTGACGTCAGCCGCGACGTCACAAAACTCCTCCCCCATTCCCTTGTTAAGGCCGACGGTTACACTTGTCTGGCGTTCGAGCAAGTGTGAAGACGCCAGGCAAGTTCCCCGTCTAAACCCACCGAACCTCTGCTGTTTTGGGCCGGTCAGAGCCCCACCAAAACCGCCATCCCAGCAGTACTCGACCTCCCTCCTCTGTTGGAGTTCAGTCTCCTTCCACAACCTCTATCCTCAGCTTCAGCAAAGACATATCAGCCGGACTGCAGTTCCCCTAATTAACCACCGGAGGGCACCAACGTTACTCCTGTCATTCCTCTCCACAGAAACAGCAAGTAGTTATTCCAAAGACTTTTGTTTCACATATGCCTGCATAACTATAGGACTGTGTATAGTCATAACTTGCTTCCAAGCTTGACTGTTGCATTTCCTTCACCCCACCAATCAAGGACTGCTCCCTTGAATAAAAACCTCAGCTTAACTCTAGCTCCAGTATTGCTGATTCACTTCTACCGTTAAGACTGTATAAATTACTGTGGCGTAGTATTACACCCCTGCATCATACTTCTGCAGCTGTGATCCTCTACCCCAACAGACCTGTGGGGTCTGATCGTTACAGCTATTGAGCTGTGTAAACAATATGTTATTGAGCTCAACATAAGCCAAGACTTTTGATTTTGCTGTAAGCTTTAGGGCTTTAATTTTGGATAGAGTGTGGAAGGGTCGGAGCCTCTGTCAGGTTTTATTGGCAATGTTAGTGTGTACAATCAAACTCACTGTTAACCTTGTTACTGGACATGATGAATCATTTATCCAACCAATTATCTGGCTTAAACAATTAATGATCTTGTAGTATACATGTCTTCAATGTATTCATTAAAATTGTGAGTCTTTTTTGGTAAATTGTGTGCTTTTATATTATATATATCTCTCTATATATATCTCTATATATAGATATAGATATATATCTATATATAGATACTGTATATATTAATAAAGTAAATCATTTTATATACTTATCTTGTAATATTGGACTCTGTAACCTAACCTCTTATACATATTTTTGTGTTTCTATTGGGGAGATTCTCTCAGAACAGAATGATGGGAAATCTCTCCAACGTAGACACAAGAAAAAAACAAAAGCACATTGTTAGTGGAGAGGGGAAGGATTACAATTTCTGACAATGTTTTTACTTCTGTCCATTCTTTCCTGTTTTAGTAACAACCTCAATCCCCATTATTGTATGGACATCATGGCAATAGGACGGGAGAAAAAATCTCCCCCATGGGGCTACAGAAAGGAATACAGACACTCTATCCAAAACTAAACAAAAATGCTGGATGTAGGTTACAGAGCATGTGCAGTCTCCATAATTGACTTACAAGTTGGATCTGTAACAGAAAAGTGATTATTACTGGCCATACATGGCTCAAATTGTGTCCAATTCCTTTGAATTGGACAGATTTCGAACTGTGGGTGCAGCTGTCAACCCCATCCGGCTCAACAAACTTCAATGGAAATTGAAAGGAGCCTTGTAGAGACTTGTCAGCAAATAGTGACTGCCACCATTAAGGTATTTAAGCAGCAGCGGGATAGCCGGCAGGGGAGACACACTAAACAGTGTAGGTTGGAGAATCGAGTGGTTTTCTCTCCTCGGCCTGAGGGTTAAAGAGGAACTGAATGCGTGAAACTGCTTTGCATGTCAAAATATTGTGTGGTTGAGAAGGAAAAGGTTGTGCAAGGAAACTGAGATTCTTACAGTTGCCTTTGCATCCTCCTGCGGTCACTCCTGATGTCCACTTCCCATTAAATCCAGTTAGACACCACTTATGTTTTTCACTACGGCATGCAATGTCCAGGTTGAGGTGGCAGATTTCTACCCGATAGAATTCAACCAAGAAGGAAGACAAAGGCATCCTGCAAAACACGAGAAATCCGACACTGACAGACTGTATACAGAATACATAAATACGTATATATATTTATTCTATATATCAGCTTTTCTTTTACACAGCAGATTTAAAATAGCTGAAAATCAAATTTATATGTGATTTAATTGATTGGGTTTAGATCTGTTTTAAGGCTTGTACAGAGATTGTATAGGTGTGTGTATGTGTGTGTGACAGCAAGCTTTTACACAACATTCATATGCTTGGACTTTATCACACAGAGCCACATAAAGAAGCATATATATGTACATATGTGGAATATGATGAGGTGCTTGGACAAGGTCCTCTGGCATCCACGGCATGGATGCCAAAGTGCACCCCCATCCCTGTAAGCTACATAAGAGAAGGGAATAAAGTCGTTAAAATAATTAGGGTTAGCTACAAATTTTATTTTATGATTTGTCACTTCTATAAAGACAATAGAATCATGTTTCTGGCACAAAGCATTTTTTTTTAATTTGGCACGAAACGCGAACAAATGCAAATTGAAACGGTTTACATGCAAACGATTACAAAATAAAGAGCCAAAAAACAATACCAAGAAAAAAAAGGGAATGAAGGAGATAATAAAACTAATTAGGATCCACTAAGGGTTAAAAGAGAACTATGCAGTAACCTTTTTATCCCATAGTTCTCTTAAGGGTCACGGGAGGACATATACTAATATCTTCCTGTGACCCAAAGCTCAGTATATAGCTCACTATATACTGAGAGCGCCGCAGTCGGGACGGATCCCAACAATGCTGTCGAGATGCACTCAGCTGCGTGAGTGACAGCTGGCTCTGCCTATCTAGAGGCAGAGCCAGCTGCGCCCGCCCCCTTCCCCATCTGTTCCTCCAGTCAGCACTGGAGGATCAGAGCGGGGAGTGGGGGAATCCCTGCGGGGAGCTGTGACTGACAGTCATGGCTCTGTGCAGGGTGATGATCGGGAAGTGAGGGAGCCACGTTATGTGTTATCACTTTCCGATCTCTAGAGCCGACCTGTGACAGTTTCATTGTCACACCTCGGCTCGAATTGAGGATGAGTGTAAAACGCTCACCTCATATTTCTCCTTTTAATAAGGAGCTAAAATGTTATTTCATTTCTTTTTAATATATCCTTGCACAACACTAATTCTTGAATGAAAGATACAATTGTAGCTTTTCTTCATGAATGAATGCAGAGCAGGACACGAGCTGCCAATCTCTTCTGTCTGGGCTTGGCCCTGAATGTGATCAAAGCAGGAGAACTTATTGAAGAAGCATTATGTAAATTTCCCTGAACTCACCAAGTCTCTCCATCATCACACTGCAGATTCAGCCGAGTTTTAACTTCTGGATCAATTTCATTCCATTCCGGAGCACTGTAGGATATAAGGATAACAAAAATCGAATTTACGAAACTTAATTAAACGCAGAATATAGGTACTGGCTGAATTTATGTTAAGCAGGACTCCAGTCAAAAAAAAACCCAAAACAATTAAAAGCTCAAATAAAACAGCAGCATGATGAAAGCAATGGAGCATATGCAGTGATGTCATTGACCTTATATGACTACATGCCAATATTTGGTAAATGACATTTACCAGCCAGGTGGATTGACCACATTAAGTGGGTGGACAAACCAAATCAGTTGGGTTTACGGACCAAACCAACTGGATGGGCTGACTACATCAACTGGGTGGTCATTATCAACTGGGTGGATTGACCAAATCAACTAGGTGGCTGCCCACACCAACTTTGATAGAACATACGTATCACTCCAGGCGCCATTCCATTCTTTAAAACCCCATGGATTCCTCACTCGGACAATCTGCACTTTGTCTCCACGATAGCTGACCTGGAACAAACAAACCACAGCACATAAACTGGGATATTATATCCTCTCAACCACATCTCCCAATAATTGAAGACAACAGCTGCTAATCCGTTACCTCTTCTGCCCCGGTCAGGGAATACGCGTGATTCTTCACAACATTTGTCTTCACAACTATCTCACCTGACCCAGAGTCCGATTTCTGTTACCAAGGAAAAGCAGCTTCATTATTAGGCTTAGGGGAACCTGCAGTGTTTCCATCCATTTTATGTTAATATTTTTCACTGTACAGATGAATTTTCTGATATTTGATTATTTGAATGATATGTGTAAAATATTTACAATTCAAAAATGTCATACATGAGACTTCCATGATTCTCAGTTTCAAACAACGCTTTGTACTGTCTACATATTTGTTGGTAGCAACTGTACACAGTTAACTAAAACATACAGACCCGTCTATGCCAGGAGATATCTATTCTAAATATAGAATTATTTTTAGAGAAGAGGAAATGGGACTCACTGTGCTGCAGGTGACCAGGGACTTTGTTTTCAAGGCGTTACGAATGATCTGGAACAAGTTGTTCGGCAGATTCTCAAAGTAATATAATTCACCAACACCGCCAGTGAAGTCCTCTAGAGCTTCCAATGGTAAGCCGCCTTTTAGAGCCTCATAGGACCCATTCAGCCTGTGTGATAATACAAGAGGTAAATGGTGTCTATAATTATTCCATTACTGAAACCTTAAAACAGCAAAGAACAGACTTTTGTGTGAGATTTTTCCCTGTGGAAATTACTATAGTAATCATATACGTATTTACATCTTGTTTATAGTGCAACTCTAGCTGTACTGCTTATAAAACAATTAAAATACACATATGTAAACCATCATGCCCGGCATAGAGTATATTTCTCCTCCAATCAGCCTGTTACTTGCACTGCAGTAGAACCGATTGGCTCCTTGTACTGCTTCTTCCTCTCCCAGTCTAAGATCTGCTGTACAGGGGATTGCAAGAGGCTGATACCAGGTAAAATGTTGTTACTTACGCTGCTTGTATTTAAAAAGTAGATTTAATGGTGTGTTAATGATTACAGAGCTGCATTCATTTGTGACTTGTATATCTTTATAAATATAAAGATATATAAAGAGAAAGTTCAGCTTTAATTATACCTTCAGTATTTTAAATATTTTATTTTTAAATGTATTTATTTTTAACTGTGACCATAATAAAGAAAAAAAGAAAGAACAAAAAATAAATAAAAAGATTTAAATATAAAGATACATAAAGATAAAGTTCAGCTTAATACTTGCAGTATTATCAATATTTAATTACATTTTTTAATGTATTTAAAGAAGAACTATGAGGTGAGCGAAAATACTCAAGCCTCATAGTTCGAGCCGACGTGTGACAATGATACTGTCACACGTCGGCTCCATAGATCGGGAAGTGAGCGAGCACATTTTACTGAGCTTTGGGTGAGGGGAGGGCGCTAGTTTGTGTCCTCCGTTACCCTTAGGAGAACTATGGGGAAAAGCACTAACCCCAAAGTTCTCCTTTAATTTTAACTTTGACCATAATAAAGAAAGGAAGAAAAAAAAAGAAAGAAAAAGAGAGAGAGAGAGAGGGAGAGAGAATTGTCACATTTATGGTCAATGCAGAAGTTATGTCTATAGATAGTTTTGTATCATAATGTAGAGAACGGCAAGGCTGGATCCTGGATGGGAGCTATATATCACCACTGTTTGGGTTGTGGTCCCTATAAGGGCCGCCACAGGGTTAACCTTCCTGCCCCAGGAAGGAGTTTAAAGGTCTGCAATTCCCGGAGAGGAGTGTGGGGAGTTGAGGAGGAAGTGATCAGCTGTGGCTGTGAGAGAGACCTGCTGTATTGCTGTGCTGTGCTGTGCTGTACTGTCAGAACTTATTTTCATGGGAAGGGATTCACCCAGGTTTGGGACTTTTTTTCAACAAGTCGGTGAGACACATTTATGTTTTTTTATTTGTGCCGAAGATTTGGACTGTTACTTTGAATTCGCTGAAGATAAGCGTGTATTTTGTGTTTACCGTTTTTGGCTGCCCTGCAAGAGGAAAATAAAAGCTTTTGTTTTGTTCAAAACCCTCTGTGCGAGTGCTCTGTGAGCTCCCCAACATCACAATAAGTAAATATTTTATTTATTTATTTAATGTATTTATTTTGAAAGAAAGAAAGAGAAAATATTTACAAAACAACTCAATATTTTCCTTTAACTATCTCAATCACGTTTTTGGTCAATGTAAAAGTTATGTCTCCTGGCAGAATCTTTTGACAAATCCCTGTGTCTGTGGGGAGTCACATTGCACTTACTTGGCGTAGGCTTTCTCCAGGAGGGCGCTCCAAAACTCACAGGCTGCTGTTGACTTTACGAACAGCAACTTCCCTTTCTTAGTTGGCAGCCGATCGTCCACCACAACATCCACCCACTGCCCGTACTGCCAGAACTGGGGAATTAGGTTAGTATAGAGATCAATGAGTCATGATTATAGCTGAATTATGAAACAAGTTCTGAGATTACCTCCACTCAGGACATGCATGGGTACTTTCATTGACTTTGATATTTGCAGCTCATGATAAACCATCTCTTCATATCATCCCTTAGAAATATAGACCGATCTGGCATCCAAGTTTTTTCCCATCCCCACTGCCAGATTCACTCTCTCTGTTGCGCCAAGGCCAGGTTCCTCAACGTGCCCCCCTATGTAACCCCCACCATGGAGAATGGGAGACCTGCAGGCTGCATACAATGTCGCCGAGATCACTTGTACAAGACAAGCGGTGGCTTCCCTGCTGTACATTTAGCTCTGTTTGCCCAAAGCAGGGCTAAATGTAGAAAACAACTACCCGTCTGGGCATCGGGAGATATCAGTTCCACACCCCTGCTGCCCCTCTACTCCCTGCTGCCCCAAGGCCAGGCCTTGGTTGGCCTTGTGGGAAATCCAGCCCTGCCCATGCCCCACTTTTATTGTGAAACTCTCCTTTGTGCTATCAGGCTGTCTGCTAAGATTAAATACCCTAAATTGCTTGTCTATATATCTTTATAAATGCTGCAAGTAAGAAAAAATCTCCTCTTGACCTGCAAGAAATCCAATGAGCACTGAACTTTCTCTTGGAGCTGACAGCTCTGCCTTTGTTGCATTGAACTCCGAAGCAGTGATGCCAGATCTGCACAATCTTAAAGATGAAATCTGGTAAAAGCAAATATTCTATAAATGTGTGTTCTTCCTGGAATCTCGGTGAGCTTTGTGTATTTCTTCCAGATCTGTGTGCAGTAATCCAGTGTGACACTTTACCACTTCCTGTAATAAAGACCAGTCACTGCTGCTTTCTCTCCTTGTGCAGAGTGAATGGTCTTGTCTCCGCCCCCTCCTGTAGTTTTCTGCAGACAGCCTGTAGTGGTTGGAGCCTGCAGAAAACTACAGAAAACACATACAATGCTGTTTTAACACCTCTCTCTTGACGGGTTAATAAAACCTCCTAGACTCCAATGATGCAAATGCAATCAACACATGGTTGTGACTAACAGATTATGTGGATTGGAACAACATTCACCATATTTATTCCCAGAAATGTTTTTGTACAAGTCATTCTGAATTGAGAAAGCTGGTCGGATGTCCAGTGAAACGTCTTCAGAAAAAATACAGTTGCCTTGACTTATTTTTTACAGATATACCATGACCTGGATGAATGAGAACCTTCACAGACATCTTTGCCGTGTGTTATGTTGTGCGTTGCATCAGGGTCCATTCATACCACATGCGTTGGTGTTGGTTGCCTTTTTTTTACAGATATACCATGACCTGGAGGAATGAGAACCTTCACAGACCCCTTATGTTATGGAAATGAGGAGGAAGATGCAGGGACCCTTTGATACAAGCCAAACTGCAGAGGGCAGAAGGTTTGGAATAATGACAATATGTGTAACTCCCTATAGCCTGTTCTTCGGCCTCCCTGTTTTCAAATCTTGTCACAGCTGAATTCTCTCTCACCTTTCACTGACATTATTTTGCATTCCTATCATGTTACATGCCTCTCCCGTACATTGCACTAAACAATTCCACCTGCCTGTCTCGGCCCGTCCTTTTACTGTGTCTATGCCTGACAGCCACGACACCAGTGACATCAGTGCCATAAATCACAATGAGCGCATCAAAAATGCTACAGTTACATAGGTCACAATAGAGGACATAATGCAGGATCTGTTCGCCATTACAACTTGGCCTGTGTCTGGATTTTGCCTTTGCCTGGTGCCTGCCCAGTGACCTTTGGCTGGTCCCTGACTTTGTTTGCCAGCCACCTGCCCTGACCTTCAGCCTATCTAGACTACGGTCCTGCTCTATGATTTATGCTGCATCTTGGTTCTGTCCATACAGTCAGCTGTCATTCTCCGAGAATAATCAAGAGAAGATGGAGAGGAAGACGTGTCCAGCCTGGGTGAGTCTGGCTGTGTCCAGGCTAGGTCCAGCCTGGGTGACAACCAGGGCTGCCTCCATAGATACAATGCAGTGAGTTAACACACTTCCTGTCTTTGGGTGGATACGTTATCAAAAGATTACTAGGTGGAAATAAAGGGAAAAAAGAGTAAAATAACACAGGCGCCATAGCTAAGGATCGGTAAGCTGCAATACTATATATACTGGGAATGCACCGATACCAGTCTTTCGGTACCGAGTATCAATATTTTGCTTTCGGTACTCGCCAATACCGAGTACCGATACCGATGCTTCCGCTGGCATGGAGCTGGCTTAACGGGCAATCAGGAAGCTGGGCGGCGGGTAATGACATGCCACCCAGCTTACTGATTGCCCGGGAAGCCGGCTCTATTGCTATTCTAGTATCGGTATCAGAGCATCCCTAGTATATACATTTTTTGTTTTTGGGGTTTAGATACATTTTACAAAATTACTAACTCTGTAGTTACAAAGTCAACAGTATCAGCAGTAAAAGCATTAGTCTAGGTTCACACCAGATGCAGAGCGTTCCGGCCGGCTCACTTTTTTGAGGGGCAGGCAATCCACAGGATGCACAGGATCGCAGGGCACATCATGCCTGCGGTCTGGTCCGGTGCATTTGATCGGCCGGAGGGCGTGGCTATGGTGCCATTCACTTCAATGGCCCGCCACGCCCCCTCCTGCCCCACAAAAAAGTGAGCTGGAAAAGTGAGCTGGCCGCAATACGATGTCATGCATTCTGGCCAGAATCTGGCTGGAATGCACTGCATCTGGTGTGAACCTAGCCTGAGTTCCCGGGATTGATACAGATATAGCACCACTCCTGGCTTAGCTCCAATTTCCTACTGCCTATTCCCCATCAAGCAGCTGACTATACTCATGCATGGGGCTGTTATATTTAACTATTTATGTAACTAGTCTTCAGATAAAGACTGTACAGGATTCACCCGGACAGTCCGGGTTTTGAATGCTGTGTCTGGGTTTCATGGCAGCTGAGACCCGGACATATGATGTCAGGCAGATAGGGGCAACCAAAATTAATATAGGGGCTACTGCCCCCCACTGAACTTAGTCTTGACAGAGAGGGTTTGTTTTAAACTTCGCAAACATACTCAAAGGATGTTTGGCATCAATGGGACTTCCAAAGGAGATGAAAATGAGACTTGAGTTACCTTGAAATGGAAGATACCTGCATAGTTGTTGAAGCTTTGATCTACTGGAACCACACGATTCAAACACTCTTCATTGAGGGTGAGAGATGCGATGGAGCAAAGGAACCAGCAGTCACCTGTGTAAAACAACAAAAGATTATAACGGTAACAACTGTTAGATGAAGACATTGTCAGGGGGAGTATTGTGATCTCTATGAGAGGTAATAAATACCTGACACATGAATCAACACGCATGTACTTAACATTGACAAAATATCTGATACTAGGTCTACTTTAAAGTAATTCTAAACCCAAGAACAAAAATGTAACATGTTGCAGCTTACTAGTCTTTAGATATGGCGGCTGCATTCGTTTTCTTTTAGAACATTTTCAGAAAGTACAGAAATCATCTATTGATCTTTCCAGAAATGCCACGTTCAGTTCAACTGAAAGCAAAAACAATTATTTTATAAACTACTCATCCTCCATGTAATGGAGATGAGGAGATGAAGACTTGTTTGGAGTGACAACCATGGCTCCCTTCATGCTTACAGTGGAGTGGGTGAGCGTAGGTACCCAGGGACTGGAAGTATGGTCCTGGCAGGATGACTGAGTGAACAAAAATGGGGAAAAAAAGCCTGAAAAATGAAAATTCATGCAGCCACCACATCTAAGGACTGGTGAGATACAATATATACATTTCTGTTCTTGGGTTTAGGCACGCTTCAAATGCAATTTCCGATGGACATTTGCCTTTATCACAAATCATACAACCCAATGGCAAAGGGAGTATCATTTGATAGGGACATGCACAGAGCTTCCAAGAGGTTGTCTGACAATGCTGGGACGTTTCTGTGCCACCGATTACCTTCCACGGAGTGACGAGATGAGACCTTTCATCACACTCGCACCACATCCGCTCATTAGGGAGTTGGGTGGAAGAATGCGGCAGCTCTCTGTAGTGAGTGTTTTTGGTGCGGATGGACGTATCTCAACATGGTGACAGATCTGCTCATCTATACTAACTCTAAGGACTACAGAATAGTGATGGGCTGAATCAACCCCCTGTTCGGTTTGAATTCTAGCTTTCGAACAGGGGAAAAGTTCGAATTCGAACTCAACGCAAGTCTATGGGAGTAGAACTTTAAAATTCAAATGTGCCCATTTTGAAGGCTTATATGCAATTTATTGGCCTTAAAGAGGGTATGGGGATTCAGATACTGCCCTGGGGGACATGACGGCAGTGATTTTAACATTTGTTTAAAGTGAAACAATAAAAATGAAAAATTCCTTTCAATATCGTGCTTGAGGGGTCCCCTAAACTGCCTGTAAAATGGCAAATCTGTATGATGTATAGAACCTGCTCCAGCAAAACTGAGATTTGTAAAGAAAAAAATTACATTTAAAAAGGAAAAAAAAAGCGTGCTGGTCCCCCTCCCAAACCCTTAAGGTCTGGTAGGAATTTTAGGAGGGACCCCATGTAACAAAAAAAAGTGTGTGGGGTTCCCCCTTAAAGTCTTACCAGGCCCTTAAGGTCTGGCAGGAAGGAGGAACCCCACCCCCAAAAATGGGGGGAAAAAAGACGTGGGGTCCCCCTTAAAATTCCATACTAGACCCTTGATCCGAGCACAGGCCTGGCAGGGCAGGAAAGGGGGAGGACAAGCGAGCGCCCCCACCCCCTCCCTGCGATACCAGGCCACATGCCCGGTGCTTTTCCAGGGCCTCTTCCTCACTAGCCCTGGGGTTTTGGTTGTGGGGGTCTGCGGGCAAGGGGGCTTATTCACATCAAGGTACCCCTTTAATAAAGGGGCACCTGCCCCTTGTGAATGAGTAAAGGGTACTTGTACCCCTACTCATTCACTAAAGGGTTGAATAAAATTGTAAAAAGAGGCGAGACTTTTTAAAAAGTCCTTTATTTGAAAAAAAAACAAAAACCTGTGGTCCGATGCAAGGCTTTAGCCAATCAGAGCTCACAAGGCACAGTGCCTGGCGGAGCGCTGGCCGCCAAACGCCCTGACAGTTCGTGTGTTCGCCGAACACACGAACTGCCGATGTTAGGGTCGAATTAACACTCGGCTCGAACATCGAGCCCATCACTACTATAGAATACTATTATGCTGGAACCAATGCTGCTCACCTAAAGATCCTTGTCGTACATCAGCTCGATTTGCACCCTCGTTTATAAATTGAGGATTTTCCTTTATTTCCTAAGGGAGAAACATAAAATGTAGATGTTACAAGATGGTGCTCAAGCATGATACATATAAAAGGTTGACTCTGCCCAGCGCTGGACTATCAGTCCTGGGTGGGCACTGTCAGTTTAATAGAGACCTTTCCTTAGAGGATCATGGAGGTTGCTGCTTATGGCTGCTTATATTGCAAATATTTGTTCCCTAGCTGTCATGCTTATTCTCCGGACTTAGTGCTTTGATCCACTAACCCAGAACACCTATACAGATAAGGGCCTGCAAATTGTTTATAATAGACCCCTAAGAAACCTACCTCTCAAGTCCAATCGCCCTCTAGATTTTGGAAAAATTTCAAGCTGGAACTGCGCAATAAGTTGACAGCTTGAACACAGTTTATTGGAAAATCAAACTGAAATGGAACCCCAAAGTAGTAATCGGATTTTGCCATCACATTTGGTCAGGGCAATTTTGATAACATGCTTGTGATTGAATAAAACCACCGTTTTAAGATCGCAATTGTATTGCAATTTCAACAAAAATTGCAATTGAAGTTCAACCACCCTCTCAAATTGCCACATGTATGGCCAGCTTCGGGAACACATACGTTGCAGGTAAGCTATTAAGGTCTCACTTACCGCAGGTCTTTTCCAGACGAGCCCTTGTACTTTTTCTGAATTTGGTCCCAGATCATTGACACCCAGAGAAGACTGCGCAGGTGGAAAAGTCAGATCTTCAAATAACTTGCCAGATGCCAGGCATTGCGCCCGCAGCTCCTCGTAGTCCTGGTTTAAGTATTTCACTGGGTTCTTATTGGTGCCAATGCCTAGAGCTGAGCACCTATCCCTGGCCAGCTGAGCAGCAATGCTTGCCATAGTGCGGTTGCTCAGTACTCTGATGTGGAGGGGGGAAGAACTGCAAAGGAAGATACAATTTATATATAGAGAGTAAACTAGGTGTGAATACCCCGAGGGCAGAGGGGAGGAGAGAGGGCGGACTAAAAAAGGGGGGGGGGTTTCTCAGTGAGGGTGGGGAGGGTAATGGAAAATGTTATCTATGTAAATAAAGTTACAAGTGTGCTTAGGTCTATGAAAACACAGGCGAAGTTGTCATTATAGACATTATGTAGGAACAGAGGTCATTTTAGGAACATTTCAGTCAAGGTAAAAAATTACATAAAAATGAAAGTAATAAAACAAAACTAAAAACAAATAGAAAAATTATAATAAATAAAAAAAGAAATTTAATGTCAGCTATTTATTTTTTTTGCATAGAGAGGAGAAGAGTTTTTGTCTGATTTTTATTTCTGTCTGCGACCTAATTAGGAAGTTTTTGCTTCAATTCCTGTTCCTGTGACACCCAGTCAAAAATGTGCAGTTATAGTGGGACATGAAGGCATGGTGTGACAGTTTTATACCTGCAACTGTTGTTTGTTTCTTTCTTTCTCTCTCACTCTTTTTCTTTCTTTTTTCTTTCTTTCTTTTTTCTTTCTTTTGTAGCACCTTGCTAAAAAGGAGTGCTAGATCATATATATAGTCTATGTTCAGTTCAACTGTGACAGAACAATCTGTGAAGCTGTGTCTGCCTGTGGGTGGGTGTGTTACCACACAGGGCAGAACAGCCAATGAGGATTGCTTTGGGCATTTATGTCTTCCAGCCAATCACTGCAGGACAGTAACAGTGATGCATGCTGGGAGAGGATATAAATGTGGAGTGTGGCTGATGCAACGCTCTCTTCCTCTTCCCCTCTCCAGGGCCCTCCTGGCCTGGGGAGGATGCCTGCTGCTGAAGAGATAGAATGGACTAGGCCTGAGCTGGGGCCTAGGCCTGGACACTGGGGCCTGAGCCTGGAGGCCCAGTGGTCAGCCACTCATGTCTGAGTTGAACCTGAACAAGACCCTTGACAGTACTGCTTGCCAGAAGTTCTCCACACAGATTGCCTGTATGGCTTAAAGGTCCAAGTCTGTGGTGGCAGCAGTTACTTTGCTCTGATTCAAATACAAGGAGTCTACCTTTCATGCTGGATGTGCCTGACCCTCTTCCCTCTCTCCCTGGAGTTACAGCAATAAAGAGAATCATCTTGGAGGTATTGTCTGGACTTCAATCTGTCGGTAACCACTGGAAGTGGTAAGTGCTATTGGGGCAGCCATGTGTTTTTTTAATAATCCCCTAGACAGGCTATGGAAGACCCGATCATTTCAGCGGCTCCTTCGGGGGTGAGCGCTACACTTTCTTTTTTCTTTCTTTCTTTTTTCTTTCTCTCTTTTCTCTCACTCTTTTTCTTTCTTTCTCTTTCTTTCTTTCTTTCTTTCTTCTGAAAAAATGGTTAAGGGAGGAACTGGGAAAAGCAAAATATAAGCAGAATAAGCTTCATCTTTAACAACCTATTCTCAGGTGTCTGCTGATTTAGCAGTAGCAGACTGATGTATTGTTAAAGTTTAACATCATTTTTGGAATAAGGTCATTCTTTTTTATTCCGGTGTATGTAAATCACAATGTAAGTATTGTATATATAATGTTGCATTCTATCATGAATTTACACTTTATGGTTTATTATGTATATTTAATTACTGTAAAGCTCAGTGGATAAGTTCAGCTTGACACCTATGCATTAATGTGTGGTGCAATACTGCAACCCCCGGTAACGTACAATTGGTGGTGAGTTGTGGTGCTATACAGTTTGAATGGTACCTAAATGTACTTTGCCAAACGCAACCCAACACACGTGCATTGTGGTGAATTTGCATGTTGCGGTGTGGTGCATTACAAAACAAAGGGGATTTCCGGGTTTACGTTTAGGCATTTTGTGGTACGTTGCCACTGCATTCGTTAATAGAGATGGGCGCGATGTGCGAGTCGAACGTATGTTTAGGAAGGGGAACCGCACTAGGGCTGTAACAACTAATCAACATAATCGATTATAATCGATGATTGAAAAGGTTGTCAACTTTTTCAATCATCGATTAATCGGCCTCTGATTAGTTGGCCCTGTTCACGGCTCCAACCAAGCTGGGCGCCGCACCTCCTCCCCGCCTCACGCTCACCGCCCGCCCACATCCACGATCGGCACAGGGACGCGGGGAGAAGAAGTAAGGAGGAGCAGGTGTGGGGGGGATGACTGCTGCCGATAGACAGGCCTGATCTCAGAAGCAAGTTGCTGGAAGATGGCTCAGGTACGCCTGCACTTTCCCACACATGGTGCTTTATAATGTATTGCTGGAATTTGTATTCCTCTATAGCTGATGGTACATTGTGCTTTATATTATACCATCAGCTATAGAGGACTACAAATCCCAGCAATAATACATTATACAGCGCAATGTGGAATACCACCAGCTATAGAGGAGTACAACAAATCCCAGCAATAGTACATTATACAGCGCAATGCAGAATACCACCAGCTATAGAGGAGTACAACAAATCCCAGCAATAGTACATTATACAGCGCAATGCAGAATACCACCAGCTATAGAGGAGTACAACAAATCCCAGCAATAGTACATTATACAGCGCAATGCAGAATACCACCAGCTATAGAGGAATACAACAAATCCAAGCAATAGTACATTATAGCTGGCGGTATTCTGCATTGCGCTGTATAATGTACTATTGCAGGGTTTTGTTGTCCTCTATAGCTGGTGGTATTACATAGTTACATAGTATTTGAGGTTAAATAAAGACATATGTCCATCAAGTCCAACCTATTGTGTGTGTGTGTGTGTGTGTATGGGTCCCTGTGTCATCTCGTTATTAGGAGTACCTGTACCCCTGTATATTACCGTTTCTCAGGAAATCGTCCAAAAGCTTCTTGAATGATTCCAGACTATTAGCTCAAATCACTGCTTGAGGCAGCGTGTTCCAGACCCTAACCGCGCGAACTGAGAAGAACCCCCTTCGCCCCTTGTGTTTGAATTTTTTTTCTACCAGTTTCAGGTGGTGGCCTCTAGTCTTTGTTACGGAATTTATCTTGAAGAGTTTGTTGCTAATGTCGCTATGACTATGGAACATTTTGTACATGAAAATCATGGCCCCCCTTAATCTCCTTACTTCCAGCGTGAACATATTTAAATTTAGTAGCCGTGTCTCATAGCTCTTGTCCTCCATCTCCAGTTTGGTTGCACTCCGCTGGTATTATACATTGTGCTGTATAATGTACTATTGCTGGTTTTTGTAGTCCTCTATAGACGATGCCATTCTGCATTCATTGCTGTATAATTTTACACTTTTCATTTCACTATATTGCACACCACACTTTTTCTTTTTTACTACCACTGCTCCAAACTTGCTCCTGTGATAGACTACAATCTCAATACAAACTAGTAGTCCCATCACTGGAGCCATTTTTTTAAATGTATTTTATTTTTTATCCGATTAACCGATTAATCGAACTTTATAATCGGCTAACTAAACAATTTTGAAAATAATCATTAGTTGCAGCTCTAAACCGCACACTTTTTTTTTTTCCTTTAGAAATGTAATTTTTGCTACAGCAGTTTCTATACATTGTACAGATGCACCACTTTACAGGCAGTATAAGGGGACTCTCCAGGCACGATATTTAAATTCATTTTTCATTTTTATTGTTTTACTTTAAGTGATGTTAAAATTATTATTATAATTATTATTATTACATAGTATTTATATAGCGCCAACAGTTTGCGCAGCGCTTTACAATATAAGGAAGACATTACAATTCAAGACAAGATGGTAAGGAGGGCCCTGCCCCTGAGGGCTTACAATCTGAAAGAGGAGGGGGAAATGATACATGAGGAGGTAGATGTGTGGGGATGAGTGGGGTTAGGTCGAGGTGGGATAGGCTTCCCTGAAGAGATGAGTCTTTAGGGAACGCCTAAAGGCAGTCAAGGTGGGAGATAGACGGACACTGCTCCTATATAAATTGAATTTTTAAAAAGTGTTTTTTTTTCATTTATAAATGTCCCCCAGGGCAGTACCCGAATCCCCATACACTTTGTATGGCCATTACTGGCATATAAGCCTTCAAAATGGGGTCAATTGATTTTCAAAGTTCTTCCCCCATAGACTTGCATTGATTTCAGGTTCGAATTTGAACTTTTTCCATGTTCGAACGTTCGAATTCGAACCGAACAACAATATGCCACAGTGGTGTGATGGGGCTGTCACCTAAAGTCACCATTTGGGTATTCAAGCAGCCGCTCTCCCCACAATAGCCTGCAGCCTCGCTGACAGTCATCCGAATAGGCTAGAGTTACACAGGAGACCTTTAGTAGCTCAAATGCAACTTAAAATTGCTATGGGCAGCAAATGATGGCTAAGTAGATGGAACAATTGTAGTGTAAGCTACACATGTAGTATGTAGTAGGGGCCTAAAGCGATCAACTATACATGAATGGAACATTATGCGATCATGCAAAATTGATTGCTACAAGACCTACATGACCTTATGACTGATATACCGTGTTTCACCGAAAATAAGGCCTAGTTCGGTGGTAGGGGGCGCACATATATTGCTGCATCCAAGCAGCCAGCCAGGGGTCCGAGAGTAACATTCAATTATATGAGTAGCTGGTCTCCTGAAGTTTGCATGTAAAAACATGTCAAGGACCACAAAACATTTCATGCATACACGGCGGGGACTGACCGTCGCGATGCAGCTCCTGCCCGCCCTCCCGCACACACACACCTGTCTGCCTCAGCTTTTACGGTACATAGAGAGCTGCCGCTGAAAACTAAATTTCCCAGCAGGCAGCGGCGCGGCATGGCCAGTGGGGTCGGAGTGAGGTCACGTGAGGGAACTTCTGACTGGAGATCCGTGCGATGAGGTGGCTCCCTGTAAGGCCTCAGAGAGGAGAGTTCCAGGACAGGCGAAACACGGTATTCCCCGAAATAAAGCTGC